TAGTCATTGGATGATGAGAAGGGACAGCTTGTATTCAGGTTGGATGTTTCCAATCTTTGCCAGAATCATGGGTCATTTTCTGATTGTTCCAGGTCAGTTTTAACGAGAAGTCAAGCCATGACACCCTTCAGAAACTGCATAAAACAGACTGTTTTGATCAAAGTGTTGCTTCCTAAAGCCAAAATAACTGAATGAGAGAGAGGGAGAGCACCTGACATCACTTGGTCGCTGAGAGCACTCCCTGTCTAGTAACAACTCAAGTCTCTTTCCCAAGAAGCAATTTAGTAAATTGATCCTTTTAAGTCCTACAGTCCTACCTAAGGCAACAACTGCAAAATCCAGGAAGAGGACATAACTATCATGACCCCCTGAGTGAATGAACTTTCTATCTATATTGAGAAACCAGTCAGTGCTACCATGAGGCTGAGCTGGAGAATTCACTTTCATGCTCCTTTCAATGGATAAGTCACAAATGTAACCCTTCTGCCAGGCCGAGTTGATAGCAGCAAGGGCCGGGTTCAGTACACAGGAGTTCCCTCTCATCAAAGCAAATGCAAAACTGGCTTGAGCCCCCACCCAGTGACCTGGGAAAATCTTACACACACCCCTGGGCACCTCAAAGAGGCAATACTTCCTCTCTCGCAAGCACAGAGTCTCGGTGTAGCAGAGAATCTTTAATAAACATGAGGTAAACAACATCAGCATTAAATTGGGAAAACACCACAACTAGGGTTCATCAACCAAACCATGAGCAAAGACCCACCCCAGCAAATTGGGCCATGTCCTTTCCCTCGGGTTCTTGAGTCCCACAACCCAAACGTCTCTTGAGTCCAGCAATCCTGAAATCACCCAAAGTCCAAAATGTCCACAACCCCAAAAGTCCAGCCCCAGAGTTCAAAAGTTCATCTGTAGAGTGTTACTCCCCAGTCTGGGTAAAAATGTGCGTGTGTGTGGGGAGGAGAAAGAGGTAAGGGGCACCTTACGTGACCTGAAGCTGACTGCCCCACAGCTCTACAGGGCTTCACTCTGATCCGCTCCACAAGCTGCTCTGCTCGCCATCCCACAAACTGCTCCACTCCACATCACACAAGCAGCTCCCGCCGTCCCCTGAACTGCTCCACCAGCCCATCCACAAAGAGCTCCACTGCACTCTATAGCTTCAGGCTCCCCACAACTTGACACAGTGCTCAGCAATTTCAGCTCTTAGTAATTTTAGCTCTTTGGTGATTTCAGCTCATAGCAGTGGGAGCCTTAGTGAGGGTGCACCATAAGGCCAAAGTGAATTCAGCTCAGCAGCTAGAGCTAGACTCTTAATAGACCCAAAATTAGCTCTGACATTCCACAGTGGAGAGAGACAGAGTTACAATTAGTATTTCAGGCCCTCACAAAGGGGCCCACACCACCAGGTACTAATACCTATCTCAAGCCTCTCTCATTTCACAGAGTTTTAGAACCCATGTCCCTTGCCTAGCGAGTGCTACTTAGTTGATGGTGAGTCCCTCCATCATACAAAAAGCCAAGTACAGTTCCACTGTCCTTGATTCCCATAATCAGGGTAATAACAATTTATTCTTCCTGCCTCAATAACAGAGACACTGGGGATCCCACAGCAGCCAAAGTGACCATTTGGGTAGCTATGGCCTCATTCTAGGCGGGGTGGGTGTGCCTATGCAAATGAGATTGGCCCCTGAAGTTCCTTTCCACAACTTGCCACACCTCACCACCAGATGTCAGGGTGGAGCTCATCCTGACTCTGCTTACACAAAAATACATGTGTTTTGTTTCCCAAATGAAAACTTGATTATTTGAAAGCTGAATACTCCTCTGAAAGTATGTACCCGAGTTAAAACCATGTAAATGGCTAAAATGTGTGATATACACTTGCATTTCTCTAAGAAATTGAATCCTTGTTGTTTCAAAATTGTGGTAACTCAATATGTGATTAAGATTGTTGAAGTCTAGAAATAGCTGTAACAGGAAACTGCACTTATCAACAGCGAAAGATTGCACAGAGAAAGTCTGAGTAAAGCCTAATAATCTTACAGATTTGTGGTCAAGAGATATTGACAGCTTCTTGCACAAAAAGAGGAAGAAGCTGTCAATTGTCTTGTAAGCTAATGATCTTTACCACTATTTGATTATATAGTTAAAGTTGCCTAAGAGCAGACAGTGTTCATCAAATTCCAGAGAAACAGGAATGGTTTAAATCATTATTTGCACACTACCCTGGGGAGTCTTCACTACATGGACAAACCCTCATAGACCCTCACCTCGCTCGCTATCAACTCTCTTTACACCCTAAGAAAGGCCTCAACCACTCCCAGCTGCCCAAGCCCTCTTAAACCCACCCCCATCTTCTCCAGATGTCAAGCGTCCTTCAAGTTATGTCTCCAGTGGACGTGGAGGTGTAATTTCTGCTAGCCATCCCAAGAAAGTGTCCGGAGTTTCAGATGGGATCATACTCAGCCTGTTCCACCCCTTGCACTTCCATGGCTATACTTCCATTTTTAATGCACTAGCTCCATCAGAGTTTGTGTGGTACATCTACCTGAACTGGAAATGACCCCTTAAGCCCCAGTGTAAACATACCTCTAGAAGATGTGAAAGTTGATAAGCTCTGTGCAGCTAGGGAAGGGAGAGATCATGATTCCATCATCTATATGCATGTAACCCTTCTGCCCGTCAGAGTTGGCAGCAACAAGGGCCGGGTTCAATATCTAGGGGATCCATTCCAATAACACAATGCAAAACCGGCTCGAGCCCCCGCCCAGTGACCTGGGACAAATATATACCACCCCTGCTGGGCGCCTCCAAGAGGCAATACTTCCCCTTTCACAAGCACATAGTCTGAGTGTAGCAAAAAGCCTTTTAATAACAGAGAGAAACAATGTGGCATTATGTTGGGGAAACACCACCAACATGATTCCTAACACAACCCATGAGCAAAAAACCCACCCCAAGCAAATTGGGGCGTGTCCTTTCCCTTTGGTTCTTGAGTCCAGCAACCCCAAATCACCCAAAGTCCCAAAAGTCCAATGCCCCAAAAGTCTCTGTCCCTGGTCAGGGCAGCCCCAGAGTTCGAAAGTTTATCTGCAGAGCTTTACCTCCCAGCCTGGGTGGAGATGGGGGCAGAGGGTAAGAGGCACCTTACGTGATCTGAAGCTGACCGCCCCACAGTTCCATAGGCCTTTGCTCTGCTCCACTCCACCAGCCGCCCCATGAACTCCTTCGCTCAGCTCCGCTCCGCAGCCCACAAGCAGCTCCCGCCGTCCCACGCACTGCTCCACCAGCCGGTCCACAAGGCACTCCAGTCATCCTGCAAACTGCTCTACAATATATCTTCAGGCTCCCCCACTACTTAACACAACACTCAGTGATTTCAGCTCTTAGTCAGTTCAGCTTGTAGTAGGGGAGCCTCAGTGCTGGTGCACTATTAGCCCAAAGTGAGCTCAGCAGCCTGTAACTAGACTTCTAATAGAATCAAAATTAGCTCTGATATTCTGCAGTGGAGAGAGAAGGAAGTACAATTAGCATGTAAGGCCCCCACCAAGGGGCCCATACCACTAAGTATTAATACTTGTCCCCAGCCTCTCCCAAGTCACAGAGTTTTGGAACCCATGACCCTTGCCTAGCGAGTGCTACTTAGTTGATGGCGAGTCCCTCCATCATAACAAAAGGCCAAGTACAGTTCCAAGCACAGTTCCCATAATCAGGGAAATAACAATTTATTCTTCCTGCTCCAATAACAGAGACACTGGGGATCCCACAGCAGCCAAAGTGACCATTTGGGCAGCTATGGCCTCATTCTAGGCGGGGTGGGTGTGCCTATGCAAATGAGATCAGCCCCTCACCACCAGATGTCAGGGTGGAGCTCATCTTGACTCTGCTTACATGCATTTCTAAAGTGTCTTTCACTGGCACTCCTGGCTCTCAACCACTGGATGACTGCAGCAGCAAAAAGATGCTCCTGCTAATTGAGCATCAACCTTGAAGTAGGAACCTGCTGTCTCACAGTGCAGCCTGCTGGACTTTAGTGACAGAACAATGAAGACAACCACAATCTGCCTAGTTAAAGGCTGTGATCAACTTTCAGATGCAGATCCCCCACATTTAAAGACTTAAAAAAAATCTATGTGACAATTGGGGGGGAGGGATAGCTCAGTGGTTTGAGCATTGGCCTGCTAAACCCAGGGTTGTGAGTTCAATCCTTGAGGGGGCCATTTAGGGATCTGGGGCAAAAATTGGGGATTGGTCCTGCTTTGAGCAGGGGGTTGGACTAGATGACCTTCTGAGGTCCCTTCCAACCCTGATATTCTATGATTCTAACTATTCTATGAATTCTGATGCATGGTGGAATGGGTGAGGTTGGTTTCAGGGAACCTTCAAGGAAGGATCCAATTTGAATTTTGGGAAATCATAACACCAATTGAAGTAGACAAAATATTTCCTTTTTCTAAATTGTTCTCATCTTTTTATGGACAATCAAGTGCTTAAATATGATCTCACTTACACCAGTTTACACAAGGGTCTGATGGTTTTAATAGAGTTACTCCTGATTTACAGCAGTCAATGTAACAGGGAGCAGAATCAGACCTTAGACCTTAATGCAGATTGGTCTAATTTCCTCTGCTGTCCTCAATGTGGATGATGAGTTTTGAAACAGAGGGACGGTCTAGTTGCCATGGAGTTCCATGCTGGGTAACACCGTACAATCAATCTGTGACCGAACCCAGCTCCTCTGACACCACAAACTGAAAGGATTTGTAACAGTTATAAGAAATAAATATCTACCCACAAGAGCTCGTTGAAACCTACAGAGATGTGTGGACCATCATCTATCAACACCCATGTGTGGTATTAACATGCAATAGGACTTCTTTAGTATATTTTATTTAATTTGTTATTTTAAAAAAGATAAACAAGATGGATTTCTGAAGAGAATAATGCTAGACAGAGCCCCCTTGCCTCCCACCAAAACACATACACACACACTTCAAGAATATGATCTCAGACCAGCTTGCTTTTATTAAAAGGAGAATAACAAATCTTATATGGGGGACACAAGGGCTCCCTTCTGGAATTTCTCCGGCTCACAAGGTTCTTTATAGCCCACATAAGCAGCACTTCAGGGTTCCATTGAAGCAGGATCTGATGATTTTAGAAGCAAGAGGCTGTCTGCCAGATTCCCAGAGATCCTGATTAGACAATCAGTCAAAAAAATCTCCTGTATAAAGAAAAGAATCAGATTTTGTGATGTTTTCCCACAGAAAAGGGATAATATGATGTTTGATTTCAAATCAATTACACAGGAGGAATTGCCTAGTCACTCTGTGGTGGGCAAAGAGGTCCCTACTGTGACATTGTGTTACTGAGTATTAATGGAGATAGTCAGGTGTGTCTAATCAGGTGAACTGGCTGCCTATAAAATCTATACTGCAGAAAAGCACGACTCACATCCAGGTACAGTTGTTCTATCACACACACCTTGTGCACAGCTGAAGCTAAAATGACAGATAATTACTTCGATGATAAAGAACTTACTCTTAAAGAATGAAGGGAAATTCCAGTTCTGTCTGAAGGCCAGCTCTGTTCAGGTGATAGTTGCATATGAGCAGCTGCGAGCATGGCCACTCTAGCCTATTTCCCTGGCTTTCCCTCTGCAACCACAAAGGGCTACCGGCTTCACATCTCCTGCATATTTGGTGTTTTAGTAGGTGGGAAAATCTCTCACCCTCCCAATTGCTTCTCTGAAATCTGTCCCAGCTATAACATTAATTTTCCCATGGTGAGTATCCTGTGTAGCAGGGTTTGGCAAGGTTTGGCACGTGGTCCATCAGGGAAAGCTGCTGATGGGCTGGGATGGTTTGTTTAACTGCAGCGTCCGCAGGTTCGGCCAATCGCAGCTCCCTTGGGCCGCGGTTTGCCTTCTCCGGCCAATGGGGGCTGTGGGAAGCGGCCACCAGCACATCCTTCAGCCCGCACCACTTCCCGCAGCCCCCATTGGCTGGGAACGGCGAACTGTGGCCAATGGGAGCTGCGATCGGCCGAACCTGCGGAAGCTGCAGGTAAACAAACTGTCCCAGCCAACCAGCAGCTTTCCCTGACAGGCTGCGTGCCAAAGATTGCTGATCCCTGGTCTAGAACCTATCCTTTCAGAACCCCTGGGAGACACCCATATCCAATGATGATTCCCAATGGCAGCTATTTTGAGGTTGTTATATTATATTAGTGTGAGCTTTGCTGAAATTGTATGATGCTAGGTCTTTTTATCAGAATCTTGTGCAGTACTAAATACAAACTCTTTACAAATGTATAAGCATGTTACAGTTACAAACTTACTTTGATCAACCAAACTTGTCATGTCATCAAAAATTTAATTAGGTCTATTTACGAAGATCTTGTGTGCATTTTGACAGTCATTAATTATATTCCTAATATTTAATTATTGATTGATTGAATCAGCTTTTCCATTATTTTGTCAGAGATTGTTGTCAACCTAATTGGCTTATAGTTACCTGGATCATCTTGCCTGCCATTTTTGAATATTGGCATAACATTAACACTTTTCCAGTCTTCTGGTATTTTCCTACTGTATTAACAATAATCAGTGGAACAGAGATCTCCTCAGTGAACGCTTTTTGGACTCTGTGGTGCAATTTTGGACTCTGTGGTGCAATATCCAGGTTTGTTGATTTAAAAAAGGTTATCCCTAGTAGATGCTGTTTAACATCCACCATAGTTACTAATGGACTAGACCAGTGGTTCCCAAACTTGTTCCGCCGCTTGTGCAGGGAAAGCCCCTGGCGGCCGGGCCGGTTTGTTTACCTGCCGCGTCCACAGGTTCGGCCGATCACGGCTCTCAGTGGTCGCGGTTCACTGCTCCAGGCCAATGGGAGCTGCTGGAAGTGGCGGCCAGTATGTCCCTCAGCCCGCACTGCTTCCAGCAGCTCCCATGGGCCTGGAGCAGCAAACCGCGGCCACTGGCAGCCACGATCGGCCGAACCTGCGGATGCGGCAGGTAAACAAACTGGCCTGGCCCGCCAGGGGCTTTCCCTGCACAAGCGGTGGAACAAGTTTGGGAACCAGTGGACTAGACAGTAGTTCACCATCCTTATGTAACATCAGTACATCATCCAGCTTTTTTCCAAATACCGAGCAGAAATATTTATTGAACACTTCAGCCTGCTCTGCATCATTATTAACGATGTTACCACCTCCAGGGAATGGACCTATACCATTGTTAGGGTTTCTATTATTCCTGATATTTTAAAAAATGATTTCTTGTCCTTAGCCCTGCCAGCCATAGATTCCTCCCTGATGTCCTTAGCTTCCTTTATCATATTTCTGCACTTCATGACTTCTAATTTATATTGATTACTATCTACTTCCCCTGTTTCCCATTTGTTACAGATATTGTTTCATTTCTAATTGTTGCCTTCACTTCCCCAGCAGACTGATACAGAGGAGATGCAGCCCCCACACTCTCTTGTGGAGACTTTTGTTGCTTCTGCTTGATTTCACTCCTCTAAAATATAAAAGCAATGTTTGACAACCGGGTGTCTTGGCTCCAACCCCTGCCCATATATGATGCTTCAGCAGCAGAAGGAGCCTGTAAAAGAATGACAAGGGGCTGGCAAAGAATTCGCTCAAAGCGTGAGCAGCACACGACTGCCATAAGAGGGCTCTGCTGTCCCTGTTGCAAGCACTGGAGTTGGGGTGGTGCTGGAGACGTTGCTGGAGGGTCTAAGGTGGCAATCCCTGTAACACTGAGCGCTGCAGAGAAGTGGGGCAGCTCCAGGCTGCAGAGTTGCCCACAGGTATCCTGAGTAAGGCCGATATAAGGAAGAACAGCCACGGGGGTGATTCTAATATATTCTGGGACCACTCCCACCCCCACGTGGCCTAGAACGTGGGCTGTGCCATAAGCATTGAACCTTCAAAAGCATTAAACAACAGCTTGGATGTAAGAAGGAGAGGAACAGGTATTTCTGTTCACACTGCAATGTCTGCCTTGTGGAATGCTGAACTTACCTTCGACAGCAAACGCCCTGTGGATAGCAACTTCTAACGTGCACAGAATTGGACGGACATCTTAGAGGGAAGCAGGCACCTCCAAGCTCTCCACACGCCAAGGTGCTCCTCTCAGCCTGGGAGAATTCTGCACAAAGAAAAAGAGTCTTAATCATCATTCTGCAGAGTAGGGTAAATAAGGGCTGGAGTCCAGGATGACAGGCATTTCTCATTCACTGAGACCTGACCACTTCAGCCCCAATATCTTCCAGTGCAAAAGTTTATGACGACTTTAGTACTATTTAAATGGCTGTAGTTCTGTGGACATTCAGTTGCAGCCCCTAAGAAGAGAATGGAGAAAGTTATTGAAATGGGGCACTGGCTCTCTGACTGCTGAGTCGAGAACTGTAGCTCTGAGCACTTGCGTCCTTCACTGCCCCATGCCTTTAAGGACAGAAAACAAAAATCTGCCTACATCACCCACTTTCTTTAGTGGCTGCTGCTGTGTTTTGGATCCCCCCTGGCTCTAATTGTGATATGCCAGGCAGTATGATAAAGTCAATTTGCCTAAGTAGGGTTGAATTGGCTCAGCAGTGGGTTGGATGATGACAACTTTTTGAAACAGAAGGGCTTGAAAAAGTCCCTTCTGGTTTGAAAGTCTGACTGTCTGTGAGACTCTGCACAGATTTCTTTCTGTAAACTCATTCATGAATACTTTCTTCACAACCAATTGCCAGTTTTAGGTTATACGTGAAGAGCCTGCCATTTTGAAAAGGCAGCCCCAATATGCACAGCCGAATCTTTTGGAATATTTAGGTTAGAACATTTTTAACTGAGGTTGTTTTGTTTTCACCAAACTATCTACAACCAACAGATCGAAACCTGAACCCTAAAATGATGCACTGTCATGGTTACAAACACTGGCCCACTCCCTGATAATATAATTTTAGAAATAAAGCTAAGCACATAGCTGTGGTAGGTTCTGAGAGATAATGGGGCTACAACACTGGGATGAGGGGCTGCCATTTTAGAGATCTGGGTTCTGTTCCCAGCTGTGTAACATCTCAGGGGGACATGAGGCCTGACTTTATGATACAGGCTGTGAAAGGCACAGAATTACTAATAGTTGTCAGCAGCAGAAGTTATATTTTAAGTTATTGTCTCCTGGCCTCCAGCCCTACGCACCTTCTCCTAGACCAAAGGGAATATAGAAAGGGGTTGGCCAGACTTTATTTGGTCTGTGTCCCATCTGGATGGTCAGTTCTGTGATTGCCTCATTATAGGAAGAGTATGTGCAGTATGGATAGAAGGTGGGGTGGTTAAAGCAGCAAGAGCTGAGGAAAATACTAAGGGAAATTTAGATTTTTTTTTTTACCAGTCATAATTTAGTCAAATCTCAGTGCTTTTTCTTGGGGGCAGGGCACTAAAGCTCATAAGAAAAAAGTCAGAAAAGTGTTTCTAACTGAAAGTGTTAGGCAACTTTAGTATGGGCTCACAGATGACCCTCTATATCGTTCCTCATTTTCATTTACATCTTACCTGAGACACCCTGGAGCACCAAGAAGACAACAGTAAAGAGCAGGTAAAGGATCTTCATTGCTGAAGGTTGGCTGGGAACTCAGCGTCACTGAAGAGAAGAGATCCCAAGACAGCAAGGAGACAGAGCCCCTGTATTTGCTGGAGAGTGGGGATTATGATATACTGAGTTCTAGAGATTTTGTTTTAATTTAAATGACAATTATAGTATATGTTCTGCAATCTGCTAGCAATAATAATGATCATATTCTAGACAGCATCCTAGATCTATCTCCTAGGAGGACTTCAGAGATATACAATTGTGTGATGCAAGATAAATTTAAAAACAGATGTTTCGTAAATAATTGTAATTAAGCAGTTACTTAATTTTGGGTTATTATGGAAATCTTGTTTCCCTGAGCCAAAATACAGATTGGAGAATTGTTGCACATTTATGTATTTTATTTGCAAAAAGAGAACGGAAAAGAATTAAGAAATTTCAGAAAGCGAAACAAAGATGGTTGGATGCTCATGTTTATGGAATTTATAAGAATGCATTCATCATGTGATGTTACCATTATCCAAGAATTAATCAATCACATCAATTAATTCTAGGTCTTATCACAGTCTTGTTACATTGGCAAACTTTACCTTAGCTCTGTATTGCACTGGGCAGGTGACTTTGGCACCAACACTGAACTATGACTTCTTTAAAGCAGATTCTTATCCATTTCTATTCATGTTGTTTGCCAGTGGAATTATGGGAATACCTGCGGCAGCTCACCCAAGCAGTTACTTAAGTATTAAGAATGCCAATTCAATTAGTTATCAAGCACTGAATTCCAAACAGAGAATGATTTAAACTAGAGGTTGTCACCCTTTTTAGAATCACGCCCCACCTTAGCATCCCCCTCCCAGCGCCCCCCACTTACAATAATTGGCACCGAGTATTGCTAATGCATTTGTTGTACCTAGTAACCTTTTTAAAAGAGCCTACATTAACATCTGCCCAGTTTTCAAAACTCAGTTAAAGCCTCAAAGAGCGCAGAGGGTCTTGTGATCCAATGCGCCAGACGAGAAAGTCGCTCACTTGTAGGATTGCAAATGTATAGGCATGAAGTAGGGCCAATTTTCAGAGAGTGGCTTTATATCCTGGCACGTGGGGTTGCAACACCACTCACTCCAATCTGGCCTGGCTGCCCCTCAGGTATGACCCTGTGGGCCAGATTGCAACGTCACTCACTCAAACTCTCAAACTGGGCCCAGCCACCCCAATACCTCTCAAATTTGACACAGGCATGCCTCCATCATGAACAGGGGAGGGGAGAAGCTAGGCTAGGTTGGAGTGAATGGCATGGTGACCCTGCATAATTATTAGAAGGCTTGCCTCTACCCCCTAGGAAGTTTGACACATCCCCTTAGTTGAGAACCTCTGATTTAAATGATTCCTATTTCTCTGGAATTTTACTAGTATCTATGGCCACTGTGACTAAATAGTCAAAGTTACCACAATCTGAATATGTAGTCAACATGGTTTTCTTTCCCCAGCCAATTCAAAGCTTCTTCCCCTTTTTGTCAAAGTGTGGAGTGGAGAATTATTGTACATTGACATATTTTATTAGCCAAGTCAGAATTTAAAGCAGTTAAGAAGTTACAGAAAGAAGAATAAAGATGGTTAGATGATCATGTTTATGAAATTTCCCAGCACTGACAGCCCCAGGCAGGAAGCTGGCCCTGCCCCTCACTATTTGCACTCGTGCATAAAGAGCCCGGGGCTGTCAGGCCAGGAAGTGCTCAAACCGTATCAAGGAGGGTCCTGTTTCCTGTAGCTACTCCCGACTCCCTCGCTCCCTTTCTTCTTCTTCTTTCGTCTCCCTTTTCTCTCCTACACCCTCCTCTCTACCCACCTTTGTTTCTCTTCTTCTTAACCCATTCTCTTTCCCTTAACTCCTGTCCTGTCTCCCTTTGTCCTTTCTCTCCTTGAACCCTTCTCTTTTCACTCTTCACCTTAACCCGTTCATCTGTTTCTTTCTTGTCTGTTTGCTCTTTTTCTCTCTCTTCCCTATCTTTTCTCTCCTCTCCTACCTTGCCTCTCATTCTTTCTCCCCTTTTCTCATCCCTAACTCCAGAAATCTCTTAAATTGCCGTTCCCACAGTGTGAATGTTAATCAGTGGCTGATTAACTAAGACAGCACTACAAGGGGAGCACACTGGGCATTCAGATATCCAGGATTTTCAGATAAAGGGAATTCAAATAACTGGCATTATCCTGTAGATGGTTTTAACTCAGGTAGTTTTAAAATTACCATCTTTTCATCTGGGCAAATAAAACACATGTATTACTGCTACTTATCCCTCAAAACTGGCAGGAAGGTGTGTTCTCTGGTTCAGCCTCACAGTAGCCCTGGGTAGTTTCTTGAGATTACAACATCTGTGTTCTTGTTCTCTTTCTGGATTTCACAGCCATCTCCCTAGACAGGACTTTAAAGGAAGAGTTAATGGGGTGATTTTCAGGGAAGCAACTTTAGAAGTTACCAGACAGAGGGTGCTCTCAGTAGCCAGGTGATGGCAGTCCTGCTCACCGTCTCTCTGATCCAGATTTATGAGCTTCAGGGAGTGAGGCTTTGAACAGAACAGCCTGTTTTATACAGTTTCCGAGGGCTTGTTTTCTTCTTGGCAAAGCTGCTGTGGGCCAATCAGAAAGTGACCTCTGCTTCTGGAGAAGATTTGAAATGTCCAACCATAATTAGGATATTGGAATTCTTGCAACTTTATCTGTGGAAAATTTCATGGTCTTTGTGCAAAACATCTTGTGCCCTCCCGGATTGTGCAAGACACGTTAGGCCACAGAGGTTTGTGTAAAATGTCTTGGGACATATAACGAACACTTGCTGGTTTAGCTCTGGTCGACAATTTACTTCTTCAGGCCCCTTTCCGTTGGCCTCCCTGTGGTGTGGTCCTTGGCCAACTTGACACGACTCTGTGTCCTTCCCCAAGAAACAATTTCTCCATCAGCAGTTTGAGCTGCCAGCAGAAATGTCCATTTTGAAGGCAGGAGAAATTCTTCATGTAAAGTCCTTTCACATTCCTTGATGATTCTGTATGTGTTTCATAGCTCATCATGCTGCAGTATAAAGTCATTTGATTCATTCATTACTTACAATGTTTATTACAATTAAATCAATAGATAGACAAATTGCTCTACATGGCACTGTACCAGCAGCTGGGTAATTTCTACATTTCATTTGTAAATTAGTAGGATTGCATCATAAGTTTAAAAATACTAACAATTAAGAATAACAATATAATCTGTTTTTGCACCAGTCAAAATGCTGATTGGGCTTTGTTGCCATCTAGGCTTTATTACATTTTAGTTGAGTTCACCTTACAAATTTTCACTTCATATTGGCTTCAAATTTATCACCTTCTTCAATATAAATCAAATGTTTTGTTCCCTGTGTTATAATTAGTTAGACATTATAGGTGGCGCAGGTAACAACACCTAAAATTGAGGTTACTAGACACTTTCTTTCATTTGACACTGTTTTCAATTATTTATAACTTTTCAAAACTGAAAGTATTTACAGTTCTTGGTGCCATGAGGTGCAGATCGACTGCTGAGTTTGGTTTTTTCTTTAGCAACAGGCATCTAAGCTCTGCTGAGGAAAACACAGCTGGGAATGTTATTTTTGTTAGTTCAGAATTTAACCAAATCTGAATGGATTTCCATGGATGCAGCAAAGGAACCTTCCTGGCGTCAGGGCTGTTCACCTATCAAATTTCACATTTCTGGCTGCAACCCATTGAGGCTTTAGAAGTCTTCAGAAAAGGAACTGGAAGAAGTTTAATAGAAAGAATTAGGCAACTGAACTCGAAGCTCAGAAATGTGCCTCTATATTATCCCTAGATTTTATTTACATCTTACCTGAAGCAATCTGGAGCACCAAGAACAACAAAGAGAAGGCAAAGGATCTTCATGGCAGAGGGTCATTGAGGATCTCAGGTCCCTAGAGGGAAGAGACATCATGACAGAGAGGAGACAGAGCATCCCTGTATTTAGAGCACTGAGAATTGTGATGTTGTAGAAATCTTGTTTTGCTCCAAGTGGTATTTAAAACACACGTGCTGCAGTTAATAATAATGACTGTTATCCACACCGCACCAGAGTAGGTTACAGAAATGTAATTGGCAAGTCCCTGCTGCCTTGAAGAACTTACATTATGTATATTTAGACCTGGCGAATATCTACAGCCTGGTCCAAAGCCCCATGAGGTCAATGGAAAGACCCTCCATTGGCATCAGCAGGCTTTGGAGAGTCCCCTACTGCAGATTGTTTCTCTTGTTCTGTTCCTTAGAAATTCATTTCTTTTACCTTTTTCAAAATAAGAAATAAAATAACATACCCTAAAAAGTCCCTATTCTAGGTTAGTGCCACACATGGGTGGTTATAGACCATGGTCCACACATCTGGCCAAACAAAAAATTTTCTAACCCTTTTTTTTTGAAACAAAACCGGCTCCTCTAAACATCTCTGTATGTTTCAATGATCTCATGTGTGCAAATCTTTATTCCTCCTGTAACCCTTCTGCCAGGTGGTGTCAGCAGTAACAGGGGTACTTCTTATCATTGTGAAGCAGAACCAGCTCGAGACCCCACCCAGAAATGTGGGGGGAAAAACCACCACCTCGGGGCCCCTTTTAGAGGGAATAGTTCCACAATTGCAGGTACTGAGAGTGTGTATAAGAGAATTAAATGTTTATTAAGAGAAGAAAATACAGCACAAATCTGGGAAAATGCTGCAACAATGACTTGAAAGAAAGCAAACAATAAGTAAAACACCCACTCTGCAGTATCTTGGGCAATAGTCCTTTGCCTCAGTTTCCCACAGTACAGTGTGAAAGTCCTTTAATACGCCACTCCCCATTTCCCCCCTGTGCCTCCCACTCATGGTTTGCTATCTGAGATCAGTGCCATCCCAGAGTCCAGGGGACCTCCCACCTCTGGGGCAAGGGGGGTTTGAGTGATGCCTCCATCTCTGGTCACCACTGTTTCTGCGGTCTGTGCCACTTCTTGTCAATGTCTCTGCCGCTCTCTCGGCCATTGTCACTGCCGCGGCTGGCTGCGGTCGCTGTCTCTGTCGGCCTCTCTGCCACGGCTCATTGCTGCCACTGTCACTGATGCCCCCAGCTGCTTGCCGTGTTTTGAGGTTCCATCACCGAGCCCAGTTCTTCGTGACTTCACTGGGTAGTGGAAATCTCTCTGTTGCTGCCTCTTCTGTGTTGTCATTTCACTGCAGCACTGTCTCCACAACATGACACTGCCCCCTTAGATCAGCTTATCATTGATATCAGCTCTAGTGATCACTGAGAAAGAACCAGGTCTCTCAATTGAGTCTAGTCACGTCTGTCTTTAAAAATTGGATGGGGAGGGTCAAATGGCTCCTAGAACCCTTTAAACTCTTAGGAACAAAGAAACAGGATGGGGGACTCTATCCTGGGAAGGAGTGATTCTGAAAAAGACTTGGGGGTGGTGGTCAATAATCAGCTGAACATAAACTTCCAGTGTGAAGCTGTGGCCAAAAGAGCTGATGCAATCCTGGATGCATAAACAGGGGCATCTCGAGAGGAAGTGGAGAGATTATTTGACCTCTGTATTTTGCACTGGTGGAATACTGTGTCTAGTGCTGGAGTTCATAGTTCCAAGAGGATGTTGATTACATTGAAGAGGTTTCAGAGAAGAGCCACAAGACTGATTAAAGGATTAGAAAGCACGCCTTATAGTGACAAACTCAAAGGATATGTCTACACAGCAATTAAACACCCTTGGCTGGCTTGGGTCACCTGGCTAGGGCTCACGGGGCTTGGGCTGTGGGGTTTAAAATTGCAGTGTAGACGTTTCTGCTTAGGCTGGAGCCTAGGCTCTGGGATCCTGTTCTCTCATGTGTGTATTACTAGGTACAAAAATGCTAGGCCTGGCTACCCACAAACACTTCTGCTCCAGCAGAGTTCTGGTGGCTACAGTAACAGGAGATAGGGAAGCGCACGAGAGGGCTTCCAGCTGTTTAAAAGGATATCACCCAATTCCTGTACACCACATAATATCCTCACCCACCAGACTCATGATTCATGGCTCACAGTGTCCTCAGTGGTATTACTGTTATTTTGTGATTTTACCAGGATTTGAGCCCTCTCTGTAAGGGGATGGAGGCTTAAAAATAGGAAAATAAACTAAAAACACATAGAATATTGATGAGCAGTGTATAAAAGAGATACACACCTGACACACACACACAGTCTGGTGTCAAGGCACTTCTCAGGGGAGCTGTTTCCTGAATTCATCTCTGAACCAAAGGTCTTCATCCACAGACCACTGACATCAAAGGAACTCTTTCCATTCACTTAAATCAGTTTTGTATCAGGCCAATGATGTTTAATTGGTGTAGATGTTCAGGAACTTGTCCTGACCCAATGGAAGTCAATGACAGAACTCCCATTGGCTTCCCTGGGGCCAGTATGTCAACCAAGATTGTAATTTCTTCAAGACAAGGGCTTGTCAACTGCAATGACGACACAGAAAACATGGACGGTATTACTACGAAAGGCACAGGCCAGAATCCTTGGCATAACTTAGTTCTAAATTCTTAAAACATGTCCAATGGCAGATGCAGTGCCTGTGGTTCATAGAGGAGTTACACTGAGCGACAGCGACAGGCACTAGCTAAGCTAACCACAAACTCTTACTAAGCTATGAAGTAACTTCATCTTATAACAGTTCGTTCTATATGATACGCTGTGTGCCTAGACATTCCAAAAAGGGATACAGTAGATCCAGCTGTGAATTGATATGGCAGTATAATGTATAATTTTAGAAACTGTACAGAAAATTAAAATCTATCTTGAGCATTCTGCAACAGAGCCATCAGCTTGAGGAAGTTTCATTGCCAAAGTGATCTCATTAAAAAGAATATTGCAAGTACTTTAGACTATAGATATAATTAATCTTTAGCAAAGTTATAACAAAGCATTATTTTAGAATAAAGGAGGTGATACCCTCAGCTGATATGTTGTGAAACCAATGAAGAATGAAAATCTGCAAAGTGACTCCCTCTGAAAAATTATTACAAGGCCTGTACGACACTTTGCCTGATCATCTATCTGACTGTAGGTTCCAAAGAGATCTCATAACATATGTATCCAACCTTCTAACTATCAAATGAAATGTAAAGAACCATCAGGTGAGGATACAGCTGTTTATCTTATTACCCCATTAACTGTTATCAGTATTATTGGTGGTGAACCAAGAAACCGAGTCAGATGCCTTGATGTTGCAGCATGATGAGCTATGAAACCAGAACAGAATCATTAAGGAAGCATTCAGGTGTGTTTGGCAAGGCTTGTTCTCTCCAAACACACATCCTGCTCCTGCCCATGGTTCTATTATCCTTTCCACAGGGATTCTTTTCTTTCACCTTTTGCTCTATTAGGATATGATTCACTGCTCAAATAGTAATTCCTAGGATCACTCTACTTTCCTTTGTTGCAGTGTTAGCTGGGAAGGATGGTTTATAGCTCAGTCACTAGAGGAGAATGAGAAAGTCAGGGCTTAGTTCCTAGCTCTGCCACAAACTCCATGTGTGACTTTGGGCAAGTCACTCTGGGCCAGATTTGTAAAGGGTCAAAGGAGAAATCTGGGCTCTTTGTCTCTCTGGGACTCAGTTTTTCAGGGACAAATAGGGTTAATAATACTTCATCTATCTCATCTATTTTAATTGCAAGGCATTTGGAGAAGAGACCATCTTTTCCTAGGTACGTATACAGTGCCTAGAGCAATGGGGCTCTGATCCAGATTGAGGCCTCTAATCACGGTGATACTAATAATAGTTGAAAGTATGGTTTGAGCAATAAATACCCTGGGCTGCATAATAACGATCAATCATTGACCACATCCACCTGCATCATGGCAGACCCTTGGGACAGGCCCACAGAACAAGCTCACACAAGAAAACTCATCAGATAATGTACCCAGTGTGTTTGGGACAGGGTGGAATCCATGGCTGTTGCTGCAAAGCCCTCAAGCCAGCATGAGACACCTGACATGTAACCTACAGAAGAAGTTGATTCTGTAATTTCCACTTGGCACGCCCACAGCCTCAAAGCCCCCTCCAAGATCTTCACTGCATGGGCAAACCCTGCCCCCACCTCCCCAGCTACCAACTTCTGCCTGCCACCTAAGAACAGCCTCAACCCCTCCCCCCCCGAAGCTGCCCAAAGCATCTTAACCCCACCCCTACCTCCTCCTAATGCCAAGTGTCCCTAAGGCTATGTCTACCCTGGAAGGAGAGTGTAATTTTGGCTAGCCACCCTGAGAATGCGTCCAAATTTCAGATGAGATCGTACTGGGAGTGGTTAGCTAGTTCCACCACTTTCTCTGCAATGGCTACACTTCTGTTTTTGTTGCACCAGCTCACTCGGAGCTTGTACAGGTGTGTGTACACGAGCTGGAAATGACACCTCCACCTCTGTGTAGACATGGCCCTTAGAAGATGTGAGAGCTGATAAGCTCTGTACAGCTGGAAACGGGAGAGGTCAAGGGCTCATAATCCATGATCTAATTACACTTCTAAAGTGTCTTTCACTGGCACTCCTGGCTCTCAACCACTAGATGACAGCCACAGCAGAAAGATGTTTGTGTCCTTCTAATTGAGCATCAGCCTTGAAATAGGAACCTTCTGACTCTCAGTTGAGCCTGTTGGACTTTTGTGACGTATAACTAGGGTGACCACACATCCCAATATTATCGGGACCAACCCGATATTAAGAGCTTTGTCATATATGCCCAACAACCTCCTTTCCCCCACCCTCCAAAAAAGTGTGCTGATTTTTCACACTTGCTATCTGGTGACCCTACATATAATGGAGACCATCAAGAAAAGACAGCCTCTGCCTAAGGCTGTGATCAATTTTCCACTGTAGATTCCCCACACTGAAGGGGTTAAAAAAAGATTTGACTGAAATTTTTGATGCATGTTCCCATGGCTGAGGTCAGTTTCAGGGAACCTTTAGAGTAGGATCAGATATGGCCATTTTGGTATCTTGGGACCAGCTGAAATAACTGAAAACTTTTTCTTTTGTAAAGGTTTCAGAGTAACAGCCGTGTTAGTCTGTCTTTGCAAAAAGAAAAGGAGTACTTGTGGCACCTTAGAGACTAACCAATTTATTTGAGCATGAGCTTTCGTGAGCTACAGCTCACTTCATCGGATGCATACAGTGGAAACTGCAGTAGACATTATATACACACAAAGACCATGAAACAATACCCCCTCCCACCCCACTGTCCTGCTGGCAATAGCTTATCTAAAGTGATCATCAAGTTGGGCCATTTCCAGCACAAATCCAGGTTTTCTCACCCTCCGCCCCCCCACCCCACAAACTCACTCTCCTGCTGGTAATAGCCCATCCAAAGTGACCACTCTCTTCACAATGTGTATGATAATCAAGGTGGGTCATTTCCAGCACAAATCCAGGTTCTCTCACTCCCTCACCCCCCTCCAAAAACCACACACACAAACTCACTCTGTGCTGGAAATGACCCACCTTGATTATCATACACATTGTGAAGAGAGTGGTCACTTTGGATGGGCTATTACCAGCAGGAGAGTGAGTTTGTGTGTGTGTGGGGGGGGGGGGCGCGGAGGGTGAGAAAACCTGGATTTGTGCTTGAAATGGCCCAACTTGATGATCACTTTAGATAAGCTTCAGAGGAACAGCCGTGTTAGTCTGTATTCGCAAAAAGAAAAGGAGTACTTGTGGCACCTTAGAGACTAACCAATTTATTTGAGCATGAGCTTTCGAGCTCACGAAAGCTCATGCTCAAATAAATTGGTTAGTCTCTAAGGTGCCACAAGTACTCCTTTTCTTTTTAGATAAGCTATTACCAGCAGGACAGTGGGGTGGGAGGGGGTATTGTTTCATGGTCTTTGTGTGTATATAATGTCTACTGCAGTTTCCACAGTATGCATCCGATGAAGTGAGCTGTAGCTCACGAAAGCTTATGCTCAAATAAATTGGTTAGTCTCTAAGGTGCCACAAGTCCTCCTTTTCTTTTTTCTTTTGTAAAGTTCTTCTCATCTTTTTCTGAACAATCATGTGCTTGATTCTGATCTCACTTATACCAGTTTATACCAGCATAGCTTCAATGACTTCAGTAGAGTTACTCCTTATTTACAGCACTCAGTGTAACAGGGAGCAGAATCAGGGCTTGGAGCTTAAAACAGCTTGGTCTGATTTCCTCTGTTCTCCTCATTGTGGACAATGAGGTTTCAAAGTAGAGGGAAGGTCTAGGTGCGATGGAACACTGTGGTGAGGGTTACACACCATACAGTCAAACTGGGACTGTACCCAGCTCCTGTGACACCACAAACTGATAGGATTTGCAATTACTATACGAAATAAATATCTACCCACAGGAGCTCATTGATACCTACAGAGATGTGTGGACCATAGTCTATAAATACCCTTGTGTGATAGGGGCTTTGTTAGGGTATTTCATTTTACGTTCAATTTTAAAAAGATAAACAAACTGGATTTCATAAGGAGAAGAATAATAGAAACAACCCCCTTGCCTCCCAGCAACACATACACACTTTGGTAATAGGATCTTAAACCAGCTTGCTTTTATTAATAGAAGAGTAACAAATATTATATGGTGATACGAGAGCTCCTTTCTGGAATTTCTCCAGCTCGCAAGGTTCTTTACAGCCCAAATAAGTAGCACTTCAGGGTTCCATTGAAGCAGGATCTGATGATTTTAGAAGCAAGTGGCTGTCTGCCAGATTCCCAGAGATCCTGCCTGGACAATCAGTCAGTAAATAGCCTGTACAAAGGAAAGAAAATCAGATTTTTTGATGTTGATAGAACCGGGCTAATATGGTGTTTGATTTCAGATCAAAGGCACAGGAGGAATTGCCCAGTCACTGAATGGTGAGTGAAGAGATTCCTGATTAACCTCAGCACAGGGAATCCATTGTAGCTACTGTGATATTCAGTTAGAGAGTTTTAATGGGGATAGCTATAAGTGTCTAAATGGGTGAAATCACTGTCTATAACAAGTATACATCATAAAAGCATGACACATCCATGTACTTGTTCTATCAAACACACCTCGTGTGCAACTGAAGGTAAAATGCGACTTACTTAGGTGACAGATCACTAACTCTGAAGGAATGCAGGGGAACTCTAATTCTGCCTGAAGCCTGACTCTGATCTGGTGGCAGTTCCATGCTAGCAGCCCTGCCTGGGGAGAGCACAGATCTCTGGGCATGCTCAGTGAATTGGCCCTGAGAGTAGCCCTGCAGTTGGGAGCATGGCCACTCCAGCCGAGATCCCTGGCTCCCGCTCTGAAGGCCCAAGGAGCTCCCAGCATCACATCTCCTTCCCCAAGTGGCCTCTCTGGTATTTTAGTGGGCGGGAAAGTGTCTCACCCTCCTAACTGTTTCTCTAGGACCTGTTCCTGCTGCAACATTAATGTGACTACCTGAGTGGCCTGTATAATTTATGGCACCTCCAGTCACAAAGAACAGGAATAGGACAGGCTGCAGATTTGCAATGTGGCCGAGTTAACTTCACAGAGGGACCTTCGTGCTTAAACCATTCGCATTCATTCAGAACAATGTTCACACTGACATCACCAAGATTTTTATAATGTCCTCCCTTGGTTTTCAAAAGTGGGAAAATAAAGGGCTAAGAGCTGAGCTGCTTTAAAGACGGAAGGATTCACCAGATGTTAAATGGAAAGAGAGTAATGAAAATTCCTGCTCACACTGCAGGGTCTCTTACCTTTGACAGCAAGAACCAATCCAGCATTTTCCAAGGTATATAGCATTAAAGGGACATCCCCTAAAGTAACAGGAACCGCCACGGCGTTTACATTTGCTTGGACTAAATCTAGCCTGGGAGAATCCTAACAAAGAAAGAGTCTTAATTATCTGCAGAGCAGGGGAAATTACAGTTGTGATTCCAGGATGCCAAGCATTTCCCATTCACTAAGATCTGGCCAAGTCAGCCCGACTATCTTCCAGTATGAAAGTTTATCACAGTTTTAGTACTATTTCCATGGTTGCAGTTCTACCCACGTTCAATGGCAATCGGAAAGAAGAGAATTAAACAGGGACACTGACTCTCCAGCTGCAGTTTAGAACCATAGCTCTGAACTCAGGCATCTTTTACTGCTCCACACTTTTAAGCAACGGAAGTGGTTTTGTGGTGGAGGTGTGGTTTTGATTCTCTCTGGCTCTGACAGTGATGGGCCAGACAGTATGATCAATGCAATTTGGCTAAGCAGGGTGAACTGGCATAGGACTAGGTTGGATGACTACAACTTATCAAAAAAGAAAGGCTTGAAAAAGTCCCTTCTGGTTTGAAATCCTGCCCATCTCAGAGAGACTGTTCAGATTTTCTTCAGAAGGTTCACTCAAGAATAGCTTCCTCATGAGCAGTTGCCAGTTTTTGATTATACCTGAGGGGACTCTTATTTTAAAAATGAAGCTCAAATGTGCACAGCCAAATTTTGTTGATTAGTTTAGAACATTTGTTGTGCTTTCACAAAACTATCTTCAACTAACAGATAGAAACTGACCCCCTAAATGATTCATTGTCATGCCTGCAAACTTTGTGCCACCCCCAGAGGACATCATTTCTGTAAACAAAGCAAAGCCCCTTGTTGTGGAAGGTTTTGAGACATGGTGGGGCTAAGACACAGAGATGAGAGGCTGCCATTTTAGAGATCTGGGTTCTGTTCCTAGATGTGTAACCTCTCAGTGGGACGAGGCCTGACTTTATAATGTCAAGTTGTGAAGGGCACAGAATTATTAACACTAACAAGCAGCAGAAGTTACACTTTAAGTCATGGTCTCCTGGCTCCTAGCCCTATGCACCGTCTCCCAAACGCAAGGGTAGATTGAAAGGGGATGGCTAGACTTCATTTGTCAGTATCACCTCCAGACATTCAGTTCTGTGATTGCCTGTTATAAGGACAGTACATGCTGTGCAGATAGAATGTGGGGTGGCTTACTCAGCAAGCCTCAGTAAATTCTGCAGAAATAACACTGAGGGGACATGGATTTTGTTTTGACTGGTCATAATTCAGTCAAATCTCAATGGTTTTTCTTGGGGGCAGGCGATAGAGATCATAAGAAAAAGTCAGAATAATTTTTCTAGTAGAAAGTGTTAGACAAGCTGAGTAATGGCTCCCAGATATCCCTTTATATCATCACTTGTTTTCATTGACACCTTACCTGGGGCAGTCAGGAGCACCAAGAAGACAACAGCGGAGAGCAGGTAAAGGATCTTCATTGCTGGAGGTTGGCTGGGAACTCAGTGTCACTGGAGAGAAAAGACACCAAGATAGATCGGAGACAGAGGACATTAAGACATTGGGGATTGTGACATGCTGAGCTGTAGAAATATTCCTTTAATCCAAAGGACATTTCTAATATGAGTTCTGCAATCTTTTTTGAATCGTGCCCAACGTTAGCATTTATTTTACCTGCACCTGCCCTTTTACAATAACAGGAAGGATACTGCCACCTAACTGTGGTAATGAGTTTGTGGTATCGGGGGCCTTTTCAAAGCACATATATCAATAGTCACAAAGTTTTCAGGACCATATTTCTTAATTTCAGCACTGAAGACCTCTAGTGCTTTTTGTGACCCCGTGAGCCAGGTTGCAAAGTCATTCACTCATGGGGTTGCAAATATATAGTCATTATGGAGGGCCAAATTTGAGTGAGTGGCCTTGTTACCAGGCACCTAGGGGTTCCACACCACTCACTCAAGTTTGACCCAGCCACCCACAATGCCACTCAAATTTGGCCCAGTTGCCCCTCTGTCGTGATGGGGAAGGCCAGCAGTGCCAAATTGAGTGGGTGGTGTTGCAACACTATATCATGACTGAATTACTAGCAGGTTCAACGCTCCCCCCTTAGAAAGTGTGCCATGCCCCTTCCCCAGGCTGAGAACTTCTCATTGAAACTATTCCAGTTACTCTGGAATTTTACCAGTAACCTTTGGTCTTAGGCCACTTTTACTAAATATTCAAATAGTGGAAACAATGTTTCACTTACCAGACAATTCAAAGCTTCTTCCTCTTTTTGTCAAAGTGCAGAATGGGGATTTATTACACATTTACATAATTTATATGCTTTAACGCAGCACTTAAAGGAAGTCAGAAATCACAGAAAGAAGAACAGTGGTTAGATGATCATGTTTCTGATATTTCCCGGCACTGACGGGACTGGAGGAGGGAGCTGGACCCACCCCTCCCTATTTGTACCAGGTCTTGCTGAACCCAGGGCTAATAGTGCTTGAAAGTGCTCAAGCAGCACCATGAGGCCCCAGTCCATTTGGCTACTCCGCCTCTTCCTGCATCTCTCCTCCTTTTCTTCCCCTTTTCTCTCCTCTTCCCTGTTCTCTGCCTCCTTTCCTTCCCCTCCCTCCTGCCCTGCTTTTTCTCTGTCTCTCCCTGTCCTTTCTCTCCCTGAACACTTCTCCTTTCAGTCTTTACCTTAACCCCTTCATCTGTTTTTTTCTTGCCTGTTCTCTCTCTCCCCCCACCTTTTCTCTCCTGCCCTACCTTCTCCATCCTTCCCCTCCACTCCCTTTCTTGCAGTCATCATCCCTAAAGCAAGAAATCCTCCCAATTCAAAGTTCCCACAGTCTTACTCTTAGGTAACCAGTGGGGGATTAACTAACACAGGGTTGCAGGGGGACACACACTATGCATTTGGATAACTAGGATTTCTGGATAAAGGGAATTTGGATAACTGGAATTATCCTGTAGATGGTTTTAACTCAGGTAGCTTTAAAATAATCAACTTATCATTAATAATAAACATAATGTGTGTAGTTTTGCTACTTCTCCATTCAAACTGGTAGGAAGGCATGTTCTCCAGCTCAGCCTCACAGAACTCCAGGTGGTTTCTCGAGATACCTAGAAACTTCATTTAGGTAGTTCACTCACTCAAGGGGTTATGACAGCTGTGTTCTTCTTCCCTTTCTGGATCTCACAGCCGTCTCCCTAGACAGGACTTTAAAGGAAGAATTAACGGGGTGATTATTAGAGAAGTGACTATAGTAGTTACCAGGAAAGGGGTGCTCTCAGTAGCCAGGTGATGACAGTCCTATTCACCGTCTCTCTCGTCCCAATATTTGAGCTTCAGGAAGTGATGCTTTGACTAAAACTGCCTTTTTTATACAGTTTCCGAGGGCTTGGTTTCTTCTTGGGAAAGCTGCTGTGGGCCAATCAGATGGTGACCCCTGCTTCTGGGGAAGATTTGAAATGTCCAACCACAATTTGGACGTTGGAATTCTTTGTGCAAAACATCTTGTGCCATCCCAGACTGTGTAAAACACGTTAGGCCACCGTGGTTTGTGCAAAACGTCTTGGGACATATAACAAACACCTACTGGTTTAGCTGTGATCAGCAACTTACTTCTTCAGGCCAATTCCCAGGGGCCTCCCTGCAGGGTGGTGCTTGGCCAGCTTGACATGACTCCATGTGAAACAATACTAGTCAAAAGTACAGAGACAAATTGTTGATGTGCCAAGCCTGGTGAAGCCAATGGTGCCTGCTGGTGCTAAACACCTCTCAGGGTTCGTCTCATTCACATGATTCAGGTAGGAGAGAAAGAGAAATGATTAGGCTTACACTCTGAGTAGGAAATTGTCAGAAAAATTCAAAGGGTTCCATGCTGGATGTCAAGATCAGGGCTGCTTGCACCTCTGTCCCCTCGCTGGTCTCTGGGTGTACCTCTTAGGCATTAGGTCTTGGGCACTGACCTGCCCCGGGGTGGAATTTCACAAGTCTCCCACTCTCAGGATATGTCTACCCTGGAATCGGAGGTGTGACTGCAGCACATGGACCCACACCCAGACTAGCTTTGATCTAGCTAGCTGAAGAACCAATAGCAGCAATGCCACAGAAGCAGAGGTGAGCAACTCACGTACATATCCAGGGTCCTGTGTGGACTTTTACAGTATTTGCTGCTGCCTGAGTTGCCAGGACTTCACTGATATGGTTATTCCAGCTAGCTAGATACAGCTAGCTCGGGTACCTCTAAACAGGCTGCAGACACACCTTTGACTGCAGTGCTGACCTACCCTGTGACCAGGGTTTGGGAACTGCAACCCGTCTATGTCAACCACTTATTACCGTGCAGATCGGTCTGGATTCCGCCTCTTGCCTTTGGGAGCTTGTGAGAAGAGCTAGTGACAAACAACCTTCTGAGAACAAGGGGGTAGATCTAGCAAATGGAAGAAAGCATTAGAGAAAATGATTTTGAGACAACAAAGAGCTGACACACCTGTTCAGATTTATTTAACCTTACACTTCACTGCATGTTACATAGAAGGGCTTCTCTGCTGAGTTACAGGAGCAGAGCAGGGCTAGCTAGTGGCTTATGTGGGAAAATCTCCTGACATAACTATGTTAGTACAATTACACCTCTGTAGTTACACTGGAGGAACCCCCCATCTGGACACCCTTATCCCTAAAGCAGTGCCTTTTCCTGGTTTATCTTATGTCTCTTTGGACGGGTTTTTCAGCAGGGGTGACGTGTCCATCTAATCCCACCGTCATTGCATCCTATTTTCAGCCCTGCACTCAAGAGCCTGAACACTTGTTCAGTACAGCAGCAGCCAGCTTCTACTCCTGAGCCAGAGGCACCAAGGGGGACAGACTCCTGACCCCTCACCCAGCTCGGCGGAGACCCACTCGGGCATGGGTTTGTTCTTCTGCTGTAACTTAGGAATGAATCCCATGTAGCTTAACTAGAAGTGAAGCATAACGTTAGAAGAGTCGAAACGTAAGTTGGCTGCTGGGTGTTTTAAAATTATGTTCTCTAATGCTTTCTACCCTTTGCAGAATAAACCCAGTTGTTCTCAGAAGGCTGTTTGTCACTGTACTGCTCTGGTCTCAGGCTGTCGAAGAGAAGAGGCGCAGGTGTCTAGTCAGAGCTGTCTACCAATAAAGAATTGGCATGAATGAGGTGTTGTACCCAGATCCTGATGAAAGAGTGGAAGAATTGTGTAACTCCACTCCTGGGCAGGTCAGAGCCTGAGGCCTAATGCATGAGATGAGTTGGGGTGGGGTGGGGTGGGGAGCAGACTAAAGACCAGGTGAGGGGTCACAGAGATGCCAGCAGCTCCATAACTGTGACATCCATCATCGAACCTTTTCGATATTTCTTACATTTTCCTAGCCAGAGTCTGAGCCCCATCACTTCTGGTTCTCTCCTCCCTGAATTGTGGGAATGAGGCGAACTTTGAGAGGTGATTTGCAGCAGCAGCCCGGCTTGACACATCAACAGGTCGTGTGTTTACTTTTGCTTGTTATAGTGAAGGTGAGGATTTGTCTGGCAAGAAATAATCGAAAAGTTCCAGTAAAAGCTGTTAAATTTACCAGATTAGATTTACAATAACGCCCATCAATCCATGGCACTCAGTGATTGTTTTTGGTATTAACTTTATTTCAGTTTGCTGACAAAATCTCTGTAGCAGACTGTTGCAACAGGGAAATGAATTCTCTGTGCAGTAGGTAACAGGGAATGTTGGACTCACCGTTCAGTGACTGGACAATTCCTGCTGTGCCTTTTGATCAGAAATCAACTGTCCTATTCACCCTGTTTCATGGCTCTCAACCAGAAATGTGAGGCCTGGTGTCCAGTTACACCCACAGAGTAACTCCACCTCCCTGAGTGGTGCTGAGCCACGGCCCATGTACAGAGGTTGGCGCAGCACAAGTGTAGACGCTGCGTTACCTAGGTTAACCCTCACAGTCCTCCAGCCATCCCACAATTCCTGACACTGACTGTGCTGGTCACAACTGTTACCTCCACTGCTTAGGGGCACAGAGGCTGGAAGCCCCTTCCCCTCTGAGCACCCGCACGGATTTTTGAAATGCCTTTTTCTGGATGTGCATCTTGGTGAGAACATCCCTATCTGCTCTCCGCTGTTGTGCCCAACTGCCCAGCTGACCATGCCAGCTACATGCTCCAGACATGTTCTTGCCTCTAGCAGACAGGAGATATTTGATCGGCTGGGCCTGTGGGGAGAAGAGGCTGTGAAAGCGCAGCCATGGGGCAGTTGTGATCACATGAACATCTATGAGCAGATTGCTCAGGGGATGCAGGAGAAGGGCTATGCCAGGGACCAGCAGCAGTGTCACGTCACAGGGAAGGAACTGCGTCAGGCATACCAGAAGGCCAGGGAGGCCCAGAATTGATCCCTTGCCGAGTTGCAGAACTGCCATCTTTACAAAGAGCTGCATGCCATGCTTTGGGAATAACCTATCACCACCCCACTGACCACAGGAATACCTCTGAGGAGCCTGAGTCACAGGTTCCTGATGTGAACAGCGAGGATGAGGATGAGGAGGGGGTGGAGGAGGAGGAGGAAAAGGAGGGGGATGCAGACATAAGATTGGGCAGTCCAGCTATGGTGTGACCCAAGACATGTTTGGGACTCCACCAGTCTAACCAGTCCTCGCAGTTCAGCCCAATGCAGGGAGAACAAACTTTGGGGAAGTGTGTACATTTATTTCCCATTACAATGATGATGCCCAAAACTAGCAGGACCCAGCTATGGACTTTTCATTCATTTACTCATATTAGAAGAGGCAGTGGTACAACAAAGAGAGGAAGAGTTGTTATGTGGTTTCCATTCCCCTGTAGAGTGAGGCAGGGGAGGGCATGTGGACCAGTTTGTTTATGTACATGTAAGCAGAGTCAGGATGAGCTCCACCCTGACATCTGGTGGTGAGGTGTGGCAAGTTGTGGAAAAGAACTTCAGGGGCCGATCTCATTTGCATAGGCACACCCACCCCGCCTAGAATGAGGCCATAGCTGCCCAAATGGTCACTTTGGCTGCTGTGGGATCCCCAGTGTCTCTGTTATTGGGGCTAATTCACTTTGGGCTAATGGTGCACCAGCACTGAGGCTCCCCTACTACAAACTGAAATCACAAAAGAGCTAAACTTACTAAGAGCTGAAATCACTGTGTGTTGTGTTAAGTAGTGGAGGAGCCTGAAGATATATGGTGGAGCAGTTTGTGGGATGGTGAGCAGAGCAGTTTGTTAAGCAGATGGATGCTTAGAGCAGCTCATAGGGCAGCTGGCAGAGTGGAGCCCCATGGAGAGGTGGGGCCATCAGCTTTGGACCACATAAGGTGCCCCTTAACCCCCCCCCCCCCAATCTCCACCCAGGTTGGGAGGTAAAACTCTGCAGATAAGCTTTTGAACTCTGGGACTGCCCTGACCAGGGACAGAGACTTTTGGGTCGTTGGACTTTTGGGACTTTGGGTGATTTTGGGTGGCTGGACTCAAGAACCAAAGGGAAAGGACACACCCCAATTTGCTTGGGGTGGGTTTTTTGCTCATGGGTTGTGTTAGGAATCCTGTTGGTGGTGTTTCTCCAACATAATGCCACATTGTTTCTCTCTGTTATTAAAAGGCTTTTTGCTACACTCAGACTATGTGCTTGCGAGAGGGGAAGTATGGCCTCTTGGAGGCGCCCAGCGGGGGTGGTATATATTTGTCCCAGGTCACTGGGCAGGGGCTCGAGCCGGCTGTGCATTGTGTTATTAGAATGGATCCCTTAGATACTGAACCCGGCCCTTGTTGCTGCCAATTCTGACAGGCAGAAGGGTTACATACACAGAGATGTCCCTTAAATCCTCCTGAGAGATCTTGATGAAACATCCATGGAGAACCTCTCCAATCCCCTCCTGAAGGTTTCTAGGGATGACAGCCTTATCTCTTCCTGCATGGCAGGACACTTTCCCCCACCACTTGGCAATAACTTTGACATGCACCATTGCAGTAAATAGGATAGTGGCATACAGGCCCAGGAGACTTTGGGACACCAGCAGCAGCTGTGGTCTCAGTGCCTTTGTTACCTCAGGAGTGAGATATCAGTAAAAACCACCCCCCCCCGTGGAAAACGTTCAGTGCCAGTGCCCTATACGCATCGTTTTATGGAACCGAACAGTTCCCTAGTCATGTCACTGACCTTGGCACCCTGTACTCAGCTTGGCTGGAGCTGTGAGAGGGGCTGAGTGCGAGCGCTCCAAAGTAGAAGTAGTGAGAAGCATGTTTTTGACTTGCCAAGGGATACATGTACAGTCTCATATTTAAAACCCAGTTCAGTCCCTTCCCTGCACTCTGCTCATTGCTC